AAATTTATTGTTAAATGATTACATTTATTCATTTACTAAATTGTATCATTTACGTTTTGATATATATGCTGTTCGATTATGCTATTTAATTTCAATATTGATATTTTCTTTTTATAGTTATTACTTAGTACTCCGTATAATTTAGTTGACACTTAGCTAGAAGCTAGATCAGAATTCCATATTTTTTTATGATCAAGGAACGGTTAGTAGCAAGGTTTATTGAAAGCTCAAATTGAAGGTTTGGATAATATGTGGTTGAGGAAAAAGAAAATTATACTATCTCTAGAAGTATTTTACTTTTAAATTAAGATTCCAGCATTTTCTTTGTGGTAAATGAATTAACGTAATTTTTTTTAAAACTTGAAATTTCTACCTCATATGTAATAAGAAAACTTTTCAAACTTTACTTATAGATTGAACATTACGGTCTTTTTGTAATTCATAAATATACAGTTGTATAATAAATCATTACTTGTTTTTTTTTTTAAAAAATGCATCGGATTGAAGTTATAAGTATAAAAGTACATTGAGAAATCTGAGAGTTATACCCGCCATATTAACTATTCAGCAATTTATATTTTTAATAATGATAAATGATTTTCGGAATTATCTAGCTAGATATATATATATAATACGTACTGTTTGACATTTTAATAAGATTGATTATTATCTAATAATTTATAATGATAACAAGATACAGTCAAAACTACAACACTAACATTAAATTTGCAACTTTACGAACTACGTATACTTTATTCCCTAATATTTACAATTGTCTATGTTGTAAAGATAAGCAATGACTTAAGGTTCATATATGGGATATATGAGATATTAATAAGTTATGATTTTACCTAATATGTACACTTTATTTTGTAATCTGATACTAGTTTTCATTATAATTTATTTAAATATTAAATCTGGAATTTTTTTATAAGTTATAAATATGTTCTGTCTATCTCAGTAGATTTCAAAAGATAAAATTTACACGGCACTTGTAAACTGCTACATCTAAATCGGAAAATTTTACATAAAGAAAATAAAAATAAAAATAAGTTGATTCATAAATAATAAAAGAAAAACTTTCGATATGATTCAGATAGAGAGTTTAATCAAATAATATACTCCGTAGTATTGAAAATAATAAAACATACAATAGCATTGGATCCTAAGAGAATGAATAAATTAAAGTGGGAATTGAAACTTTGTTTTGGATTGGATAGGTTGGCATGCCAATAGGGATAGTTAATACGGCCGTAGAATTTAATTGATTAATTTCGGGTCCGCAGCCACGGAATGGACAGTACCTGAATTATGACATTAAATTATGGGTCCGCAGCCACGGAGTGGACAGTACCCAAATTTTGAAACTCGATCGTTTAGGGTCCGCAGCCACGGAGTGGACAGTACCCAAACGATAGGCCTGACTCACACAACGGTCAGTGCCGATACTACTCAGATGGTCCGTAGCCACGGAATGGACAATACCAAATGAGGAATGTCTCGTGCGTTTATCCAGTCCATTAATTAATCTAAGGAGTAATATTCTTGAAAATAAGAAAACGTAAAGGAATTTGATTTGGAAATGCAAGTTGAGAAAATCGGAATGGTACATTGAAAAGGGAATGCTAAGTGCATAAGAAGTACTAGTATATTTTAATTTGTTATAATTTTGGAAAATTTCGATGTGATCAAATTGGGTTATTATTTTGATGACATATTATCAAGCTACATTATCTATGAAGAAAAGTTGTATTCTCAATTCGGATTTATAAGCTGCTTGGTTATTATATTGTTACAAATTATGTTGGTTTATGGTGACACCTTTTACATTGAGAAAGAATGAACACCACTAAGCAAGATTTGCTTAGCGCGTTGGATTTTTGTCCTTCGCATAGGTCAATAAGCGTTGCGAGCCGGAATTCAAGTCGAGGAGCATTTGGTGGAGAAGCGGCCAATCATCAGAGAGTCACATTTTCACTAGTAGTAATAGCTCATCCCTAGTTTGTATGATAAGTGCTCATTAGCATATTAGTAAATAAACATGGAATGATCAATTTTCATGGATGTACTCGATTATTCCAAAAATCCAGAACTACTTGATGTGTAATATATTTATGCTTCCGCAATCTGTGGACTTTAATAAAATATGTTAGTATTCTTCTTTAAAATTAACTAAAAGTATAAATAGTAAAGAAATAGTTAGTTAGTCAACGCTTTGGTGCTTCGGCACTGCGGGTAGCGCTCCCTGTCCGGTCCTTCCGAGCTGGGTAGGGGGTGTTACAACCCTGCCTTGTGACTCACCCCACGGCCCTTCAAGAAAGAACCCCTTTCATCCCGAGCCACCCATCCCCAAGCTTTAATCCTGTGAAATAATAGGAAAGGTTACCCAATAGGGTACCTGGCAGATATATTTATACTAATAAAAGTTTCCAAAGATACAAAGGATTCCTAATTTAATATTAGACTATTACACCCCCTCAAACTGTGCGGAGGATACAACGCGCAGGTTGTCTTTTAAAAAATGAAATTGCCGACTAGAGAGACTTTTAGTAAATATATCCGCCAGCTGAAGACTAGTAGGCACATACTTAACAACAAGATCACCATGAGCCACGCGTTCACGAACAAAGTGATAATCAATCTGAATATGCTTACTCCGTGCATGCTGAACAGGATTTGCTGTCAGGTATGAAGCAGAAATGTTGTCGCAGAGCAAACGAACTGGTGCCGTGACAGGGAAGCCGAGCTCGAACAGAATGGAGCGAATATGTAATAGCTCTAGTTTTTCCCATGATTGTATTTCATGCCGGTTAGGCAAGTCCCAACGATTACCTTTTTCCAATGCTATTCATACTGCTTCTTCTCCCTTACAATTAATTCATTCTGATGTGTGGCAATCTCCTGTTCTTTCTAACTTGGGGTTTAAATACTATGTTTGTTTTATTGATGATTTTTCTCGTTTTACGTGGGTTTATCCCTTACGTACTAAAAATGAAGTCTTTGACTCTTTTAAAATTTTTAAATCTTTAGTTGAAAATCTTTTTAATTCTAGAATTAAAATTTTTCAAAGTGATGGAGGGGGTGAATTTGTTAATTCTAATATGCAGAAATTTTTCAATTCTCATGGCATTTATTTTCAAAAATCGTGCCCTCATACTCCTCAACAAAATGGGCTAGCTGAGCGTAAACATCGTCATCTCCTTGAACTTAAGGGATACCATTAGTACGTAAGGGATACCATTATTTCACATGGTATCAAAGCTCTGACACCATCGATAACGTGAAGGCCAAGATCCAGGACCTCACCGGGAAGACCATAACCCTCGAGGTTGAAAGCTCTGATACCATGTGAAATAATGGGAAAGGTTACCCAATAGAGTACCTGGCAGATATATTTATACTAATAAAAGTTTCCAAAGATACAAAGGATTCCTAATTTAATATTAGGCTATTAAATCCCTCCTTGATGATTTACTACGGCATCAACATTGATCTTAATGCCTTCCTGACTCGGTCTCGCCCATCGTCTCAGCTCTTCCCCTTCCGGTAGCTTATTGCTAGAGTCTTTCCTGCCAAGCTCCCAGCATGTTATCCGCCACTCGAATCACCGTCTCAGCCTCCTCCACTTTATCCTTCCAAACAACTCCATTCCTTCTCTTCCACAAACTCCACAAAACAGCCACAAATCTGCTACCTAACTTCCTATTTTCCTGCGCAATACTGTCCCGCAGCCAGCTCTCAAAATCCTTCACCTGTGTCTCGGTTTGTATACCCGCAAACTGCCAGGCAGCCTCGGCTTTGGGGCAGCTGCGCAACGCGTGCTCAGCGCTTTCTTCATCGGAGCCGCAACTTTTACACCCTCCAACTATAGCCACACCCCTCCTTTTTAGATTCTCCACTGTTGGAAGCGTGCCATCCAGTACCTGCCACATAAAATATTTAAGTTTTGGAGGGATCTTCAACTCCCATAAAATCTTCCAACCCTGCCAAGCTCCTTGAAAAACATCGCCCATCAGAGATCTATAACAGCTTTTGACAGAAAAAATCCCATTCTTCTCCCCCACCCACAAATAGTCGTCCGTTCGGTCAGTCAAACTAATAGGGATACTTAAAATTTTCTCCCTATCATCCGGATTAAAAATACTACAAATCCTCTCATGATTCCACCGCTTCCCGGTCTCGTCCCGAAGGGCCGCCACATTCATATCGCAGACATAAGCCGGTTTTTCTGAAGTAATTCTCCCAGTCTCTGTTCCAGGGAGCCATGCATTTGCCCAAACCTGGACCTCAATACCATTCCCCACTCTTCTTCTGGTATTATTCTTTATTATTTCCTGGGTCTCAAAAATACTTCGCCAGATAAAAGAAGGGTTACTTCCCAACTTAGCCTGTAGAAAAGTCGAGTGTGGGTAATACCTGGCTCGAAGAACACGACTCATAAGGCTCCCAGTATCTTTCACCAGTCGCCACCCCTGTTTAGCAAGCATAGCTAAATTAAACTCTTGTATCCTCCTGAAACCGAGTCCCCCTGCATCCTTTGGCTTGCACAAAGCTTCCCACTTTCTCCATTTTAATCCTTTCTGATCAAATTTAGAGCCTTTCCACCAGAAACCATTCATTAATTTTTCAATTTCATCACACAGATCCTTGGGCAATAGGAAAACATTCATGGCATAGCCTGGATAACATTACGAAGCAAAACTGCTCTACCGGCTCGTGACAAAAAGCGATTGGTCCAACTTTTAATTCGGTTAAAAATACGTTCCTTCAGATACCCCAAAATAACAGATTTATTTCGCCCAACTAAAGCCGGTAATCCCAAATAGTGGCTAAGTCCACTTTCTCGAGGTATACCCAACTGGTTGCTACAAAGCTCCCTGAAGGACTCCCCCACATTTTGACTGAAAGCTAGAGTGGATTTGCTGAAATTAACCATCTGACCCGACAATTCTTCATATTTTAAAAGAATTCTTTTGATGATGTCACTCCACATTAGAAGCTTTAAAGAATAAAAAACTGTCATCAGCAAAAAATAAATGTGATACCCGGGGGCACCACGGCAGACTGCAACTCCATGTATTTATCCTCTTCCTTCGGCTTTCTTAAGCATTGAGCTTAATCCTTCTGCAACAAGGATAAATAAATAAGGAGATAATGGATCTCCTTGTCACAACCCTCTCTCTGGAATAATAGGCCCCAAAAAATCTTTATCAAACTGGACGTAGTAGGTATTTGTGGTAACACATAACATAATAATGTCCACCCACCTTGCATTGAAACCCATATGTAGCATAATCTTTCTAAGGTAGTCCCAACTGACCCTGTCATAGGCCTTGCTCATATCTAACTTCAACGCCACATACTCATCCTTACCTGTATTCTTCCTCTTCAAGTAATGCTGAGTTTCAAACGCTACAATAATATTGTCCACTATAGCTCGCCCTGGTATAAAAGCACTTTGATTTTCCCCAATCACATCACCCAAAATCCCTTTCAGCCGAATAGCAATAACCTTGGAAAAGATTTTAAAAATTACATTGCAAAGAGCTATAGGTCGCCAATCCCCCATACTCTTCGGCTTATCTTTTTTTGGGATTAACACAATATTAGTGACATTTAACTCGTGTGGCAGATCACCTGTATCAAAAATCTGACAGCAGAGACGAGTTACTTCTGATCCAACTACCCCCCAAATTTTTTGAAAAAAAGCTGGATTCATACCATCCGATCCTGGAGCTTTGTCAGGGTGCATATCAAACACTGCTGCTTTAACTTCTTCCTGACTGAGGGACTAAATAAGTAGCTCGTTTTGACGATCCGTAATCTGCCTCATCGGGCATAAGTCAGCCGAGTTCACTACTGTTCCCTGCTGCTGAAAAAGGAGAGTAAAATAGTCCCCCACCATCTCCCTAACCTTCTCGCGGTCTGTTACCCAAGAACCATCCGCAGCTCGGAGCCCCAGTAGCTTATTTTTCCTCCGTCTCTGTTTCACTGCATTGTGAAAAAAACGGGAATTAATATCCCCTTCCTTCAGCCAAAATTCTTTAGCCCATTGGTTCCAGTATATGTGCTCTTTTTCCATAAGGTCCTGTGTGACCAACCTTACTCTCGAGAATTCAGCCAGGCTAGACGCATCCCCCTTCCCCCGTAGCCATGCTAAGCGTTTTTTACATGCTAAAATCTGACGTCGAAACCCTTTCGGCCGCCTTGTGTCCCATTTTAAAAGTTCTCTACCACAAAAATTAATCCTCTCACTAACTGTGAGATGGTCACCTGCATTCCAGCTATTTGTAACAATCGCCCGGCATTCCTCTTCTCTGAGCCAAATATTTTCAAATCGAAACCTTTTCGTTGTGCCATTTTGAAACGTCAGACTAAATTTTAGCCGAAGCGCCATATGATCACTGGTTGGAGCCTCAATAGACGAAGCTTGGGCAGCCATGAAACTATTCCACCAATCGTCATTGACCAAGATACGGTCTAGCTTTTCTTCCACCCAATAATTAGTATTCTTCCCTCTGTCCCATGTCCACTGATAGCCTTCAAACGGGAAGTCCCGCAGTCCACTTTCTGTCACTGCCTCCCAAAAGCCTCGGGTACGCCAAAGTGGATGCTCAACCCTTCCATTTTTCTCTGAATCATACATGATATCATTAAAGTCCCCAATAATAACCCAAGGTAAGTTGTTATCTTCAGCCAGACTTCGAAGCACGTTCCACGCCTCCCGTCGTCTCGATGCATCGGGGAAAGCATAATAGCAAGTTAAGCGCCAGCCCGGATCACTCTCAGAGAGCTTGATTAAGCAATCAATATAGTTGTTATTAACTTGAGTAACCTGCAGATTCACATCATCATTCCATCCGAGAGCCAAACCTCCGTTGCTACCTGCACTATCTGCTCCTGCAAAATTACTATACCCGTGTTTGTATAGCACATCTTTTGCCCGCAAACTGCATAATTTAGTTTCCATCAAAAAGAAGATATCCGGTCGGTGTGAATAGGTTAAATCCGAAAACCCTTGCATCGTTTTGGCATTCCCCAATCCTCTACAATTCCAGCTTATTAAACTCATGATACTGGTTAAAGAAAACAATCTAATCAGTCTCCTTCAACCTGTACAATTCGCGATGCCTTTGAAACACCTTCGAGCCTGCCCACAAACTTCAAAACAGAATGAACCAATCGGAGAAAACAACCAAGAAACCCAGCTCCTCGTCTATTAGCCCCTTGCCCGGAGAGAAGCTCCTGACGAGCTGCACCAAAACGTCGGGCCAGGAAAGATCGGCCGAAGCCGCCGAACCCACGGTCGAAATGACCGCCGCCGGAAAACAACTCTAGCGGCTGGTAGCCCTAGAAAAAAATAAAGCTCGGTAAATTGAACTTATAAAGTCTTTTTACCAGATATGTTAAATTAATTAACATATACCGTTCCTCTGCTCTAGCAAAAATAATTAATAAATTATGACATTTATAACTACATGATCAGATCAGATGATCTGAAAAGTGTACCAAAAGTGTGGGATTAAATTGTCACATAAAAAGAGGAGAGGTACGGAGCCAACTAGCCATAGACCAATGTTGTGCAACCCGAATTTAGTCTCCCCTCGGCCGCACACACAAGAACCACCACCTCGGTCTCAAACAAAACTAGATCAGACCAATTAAGATCAAATTAACCCAGATCAAATATCGACGATTGTAAAGTACAAAGTGAACAAATATTTACTAGATCGGATCACCGGACAATGAGTATCAAAAACAAAAAAAAAATTAATAATGTAACATATTATTGGAGCAGTGGAACTATAGGGATATTTCCGGTGCTCTAGATCGGATCGGATCAAATAAATTAATTAGTAAAGGTATATATAAAACAAAAACTCGATGAGTATCCAAGCCCTGGAGCAGTGGAACGGTAGGGAGCAGTGGAACGTTAGGATGTGTGAGATTAAAGCTGTCATTTAACCGTAGGTAACGTGTTCAACTCTCTCCAGCTCACTTTTTTGTGTTTTTAGACTTATGATTCTAAAACACAAAAACTACATCATTTTGGCCCATTTTTAAAACCAGTCACGCACGCCCCGATTTTATTGTTTACAGGTAACCCTTTCATAATTTAATTATTTTTGGATTAATTATTAAAATTTCTTTGAATGTTGAGATTAAATTAATAAATTTATGTATTTATAATTGTTTTGTCAATATTTTACTATATATGATGAAAAGATATTTCAATAGTGTATCCAAATTTAAAGAAATTCGGAGTACCAAAAGTAGTTTAGATATTAATCCAAATGATTCATCATTAGTAAATGAAGAATTGGATCAAGTGATTACTGATAGTACGTGAAACTAATTTGTCTTATAATCTACATGAACAACATGTTGATTTTGAATTTTTGAAAGCTGATCCTGGATTGCAATGGTGTCCACGAAGAAGTGTCTCACATAGTGTATACACTTATTATATTTTTGGTACCGTCAGTGATAATTCTATTATAGAATATTTCGAAAAATCTAGAGGGTGCATTTGTAGAATTGTAAAATGAATTTCATATTTAATTTTTTACTTTATACTATCTTAATGTTTTGATTATGTTCGATAAAAAAATGTTTTGATTATGTACGCGTCAAGTATGAAACGTTATGCTTTTTTAATATTTTACTTTTATTATTAATGTTATTTTAATTAGAGTTACGTTAGAGTACAGTGGGGACCTCATGGCTCTATTTTTCCGGGTCCGCCACTGGTATTACCACTTATTTTGCTATAGAGATATTTCCTAGTAATGTTATCAGTGACATGTAAAGATGGGGTGGTCCTGAAGTGGTAACCCAGATCAAATATCGACGATTGCAAAGTACAAAGAGATCAAATATTTACTAGATCGGACCAGACAAAACCAGTGATATCATTAAATATTTGATAGAGTAAATAAGTGGTAATACCAGTGGCGGACCCGGAAATATTTACTAGATCGGACCAAACGAAACCACGTTTTATAGTCCCCGTCAAATGATATCAGTGACATGTGATCGACTTTGTGACTAAAGATGTTTTTATTTAGACTGAATTTTTTTTATCTTATCTAATATATTTGGCCTGAACTGGTTTTGTCTGGTCCGATCTAGTAAATATTTGATGTCTTTGTACTTTACAATCGTCAATATTTGATCTGGGTTAATTTGATCTGAATTGGTCTGATCAGGTTTTTTTTTAGACCGAGGTGGTGGCTCTTGTGTGTGCGGCCGAGGGGAGACTAAATTCGGGTTGCACAACATTGGTCTATGGCTAGTTTGCTACATACCTCTCCTCTTTTTATGTGACAATTTAATCCCACACTTTTGGTACACTTTTCAGATCATCTGATCTGATCATGTAGTTATAAATGTCATAATTTATTAATTATTTTTGCTAGGTTACACAAAATGTGTACACCTTTTTGTACACTTGTCTGTTCTCGGTAGACAAGTTGTCTGTCACAGAAAACTATAATTCGAGTTGTCTGTGACAGACAACTTGTCTACTGGGGACAGACAAGTGTACAAAAAAAGTGTACACATTTTGTGTACACCACTCATTTTTTTAAATTAAAAATCGCAATATGGAAATTATTGCTAATTTGACAGACTGTTGATTTCCAAAAGGACCAAAACTTGACTACATACGGAGTACGGGACAATTTAATTGTATAAGCAAATTTAAAATTGTATAAGCAATAGAAGTCGTGCATTGATATACGTGAAAACTTGTAAACTTCTTTCACACAAACATGTTTTGCCTTTTATATTACAACACATGTAAATTTCTTTCACACTAACATTTTTTCCGTTCATATGGACATATATAATTTTGATAGTGAAAATTGTTATGCTCTACTCATACTTAAGGTTTCTGTTTTTACGTACAATAACTTGTTTCTTACTCGATCTTACATGACTTGCTAGAGATAAATTTAAAAATCCTATCTAGCTTGTACTTTTGTTTCACAATTATTATAAATGTAGAGCATAGTTCTAGTTAAATTGATGTAATATTTTAACCAACCAACCACTCTAGATGGCTTCCTTGCACTCAAATATAGCTCGCCCGTCACACCGCTCCCGCTCTCTCGACAAAGTAGTAGATGTGTAAATCACTGTATGATCATTCTCAACGCTATCTGATGCTCAATACGCTATCACATAACTATATGCAACCCGACCTCGCATTGTCGCGCTCAAATTAAAATTCAAATTTCGTAACCATTGCTATATTATCAACAATCTATCTAACGGGAGTTGAGCTATATATATCCATCGGGTCACTCACATGGACTTATGAGTATATATTGTTTTGATGGTTGCCAAACCCAGCAATAGGTCCCTCGAGATGAGTCAGGTAGGACCTCTCTTTCAGGTTTAGTCCATTTCCAATTTGCGCCCACAAGTTCATTTCATCGCGTACTTCACGTGGTTGATATGGTCTACTAAATAAAGACACTCTCATCAATTAATTATGTTATACTAATGTCCAATCTATATAACTCTTTTGGTATTAGTTTAGTGTGGACTTTAATTGTTGTAATATACCTTCGTATTTGGTTTTGTTACAATCCTTCGATTATAAAGACAATATAGTATTTCATCCGTTATTAAATAAATGTAACGGTCAATATTTCACATTTGCCGAGACACAACATTGACCATTAATATAAATGATTTTGCATTAATAAAAATTAAAAAAATTAGATTATGAAAATTTACAATGAGACAAGTTTAACAACATTTTTTCATAAAATAATATTATTACATTACGAAATAAAATGTAGTCAAAGTAGAACATGTGAATAGCGTAAAAGTCAAAGTGTTGCATTTATTTAAGAACGGAGGTAGTATTATATCTTAAAATGCAGGGTTGGAGAGAGATTTTTTTTATTATTGACTTGTAGACAATCAAAATAATGAAATGAATATTTCTTTAATATAGGGGCGGACCCAGAAAGTTTGTCTTGGGAGGGCGGTAACTTAAACAAAATATTTTTTGGGAGGGCGAAAATTATTTTTTATTATATATATACACTAAAAAATTTTGTTGTTGGGGGGCGACCGCCTCCTGGGTTTGTACTACAGTCCGCCCCTGCTTTATTACGAGGTATAAAAATGTTTATTTGTAAATGCATGCAAGATAGGTATATGTTATATTTCATGAAAATAGTATTGAAAGAAATAAAGTGAGCGGAAAAAACTTATGATTAAGATGATCTGAACACTCTTCAATTGTACAATGAACAAGTGTTGAAGAAACTATAAATATACGCAAATTTAAAATTACATCTAGTACTATCTTATAATTCGTCTGCCTTTACCATTCTTCGTGTTCATATTCTCATAAAATTTTGGACCTTAATCTTAAAACTTAATTCACGATTGTCTCGTTTTTCTTTTTTCATCTGTCACATTAAGATAGTCTTATACCAAATTTAGTAAATTTTGTATGGTTCTAATCATTCTTACTTTATCAATTCAATATCAATCATATAAACTCACTTTCTTATTAACCGTACATCATTCTCATCATCTCATGCCCCGAGATTGGTGGGACGTGACGGTGGTAATACTCCTATTTTGCATGGTCCTGATTCTTGATCAAAACTAGGATGATTTGTCCTATAGTGCAAAACATAATCGGCATTATTCTAACTAGAAATTGAAAACTATGCAGCGAAATGTTTATTCTGGTACGTTTTTTTTTAATATTCTGGTAAGTTTATGCATGTGGGATATATATTGAAGAGTTATAATCTTGTTACGAGGTTTCTGTTTTCTCTAAACGGAAGTAAGTGTTGGTGTTTGGAACAAGATCTAGAACTGACAAATGTACATTAATCCAAAACTAGTTAATTATTTTCCGGCATTAAATGAATGAACAAAATAGATTAGAATGGAACCACCCTAGACAGAGTGGCTGAGCATATATACCTGGAGCATAAGAAGTAGGTCACCTTAATGGGCATACGAAATCCAATTAACCTTAAGTTAAACACTTAATTAACTACTTTAATGAATGGGGTGTTTGGAAAATGACGTTTCAGCAAAACAAATGACGGTTTGATCACTTTTGGCGTTTTCAATAAGTGAAATCGTTGTTTGATAAATAGTTGTTCGCCCCGTAGCGTTTTTGGACGGAACCGCTGAAATGAAATCATTGCAAATAAGAGAGTTTTGGGTTAGCGTTTTGAAATTTGACGTTTTCTACTAATTGTTATAGTCGAACAGCTAAATCACCAAACATCTTTTGCCTATCTGTCAACTTATTTCGTTAGTCAAACCCGCTGATTGAATCTACTATTGATAACCGTTAAAATAATTCATTATCTGCTAAACGTTAAATGTCATAATCATCATAGTCAATGTCTATGATCATACACGAAACTACTTGAACTTTGGATTTTCAAGTGATCTGGTTATAAAATAAAATGTTGATTTTGATTGCATAATTTCATATCTTCTTAAAAGAAAATTTTCAGGAATGTTATTTCCTCTAATTCAACAGATTGTAATTCGATCTTTGTCCTCATTTTAAAAGAATTGTTCATTATTATTATAGGATGCAACATTACAGAAATAAATGTCTCAAGATAATATTTTTTGTTTTAGAAAAAAGGAGGTGCGCACATGGTATCATTGTGTGTGCCTAATAAGCAAAGAAACGATAGGTCAGAATATTATATCAACAAGAAAACGTTAAACTTCAAACAGAAAGCAAAACCTGATGGACCCCTTCTAAATTTAGCCATGCCACCGATCCAATAATATTTTCACAACTTGCAAATACAAGCAAATCAGTTGTGATTACACATCACACAGTAACACCCCAATTCATCACTGAAACAGACATTTGCCAAAAAACACACGCAAAACATGAAAGAAGAAACAAAAAGTGATTTGAGTTTCATAATCAAAGAAGTGTTTATTTGGACTGATCTGACTTCACATGAAGAGAGGTCTTGACTAGTATGAACGGTTCTATTTTACCATTAAGTTTTAATATCAAGTTTAAATCTAAACCCTTCATAAGACTTCTAACCCAAACAAGTATGACACCCCTTTGAGAGCCATACGGGCCAAGACTCATTGGATAGTTATCTAGCAGAATATAAATTACAAACGAATGTATAAGAAGCTGGATTCTGAATCACAAACTTGCCTTTATATCACTCCCTTCATACCGGCTGACCTTGCTGCAGGTTCTTATCCAACATTCTGAGGAAGGCGACCCACTATTGAATGGAACAAGTGATAATTATCAGAAGGATTCTGAATCACAAATCTTTGAACAGTTTACTATCGAAGGGTGAAGAAAAATGGCCCTAAAGGATAGAAATATAACACCCTAAGGCCTAAACTACAACTTTCTCTTTGACTTCTTCACTTTAATAAGATAACCATACTATTGCTTTTTAATCAAAACCATAATGATTTGATGGAAACATCCCGACAAAATTTAATACTAATTAAGTGGATACAAGACAAATTTTCATTATTTGACAACCCAATTAGGAGATTCTAATCACAAACTTAACACAACACAATAAGAATAACAACAATGATAATTACAAGAAAGGAGATTAAAGCTGATTTTTTTCACTAATTTTTATTCAAGAAGGGGTTGAGTTTTGTTCATCAGGAGATGTCCAAACAATGTCCTTTAGGGCAGGCTTTAGCTCTTTGCTCCAAAACTGGTTATATTCCAGTGTGTCACCTCCACCACCAGGAATGACGGCGTCATGGCGAAGATATCCGCTGAAATTCCCAATTTCCCCTTCCTCCCACTCTCATGTCCCTGCAACCTCACGTTGGAGTCGCTCTTCTTCACACTGAAGTTACTGGTTTTCGCCACCGCTTCGAGCTTTGAAATCACACTGCTGGCAGATTCTGTGGTGGCGAATCTCATCTCCTCTCGGCCAATTTTCTTCTCCTGGAAGAGAGGGCTTAAATCGAACCCTTGAGAGAGGGATATGATATGGAAGGCATTCAATGTCTCGACTTCTTTGGCTGATGAATCTTCGTCTTCGTGGTTGTTCTTCATGGCTCTGGGGATTGATTTCTTGAACCAGGGGGAGGCCATGATTTTGGCGATGCTGATTCTCGATTCCGGGTTCGGGTCAAGCATTTTGGTCACCAGTTTTCGGGATTCCGGTGAGAACCACGGCGGGCATTTGAAATCCCCCCTGTAGATCTTCTTGTACATGGCGACAATGTTGTCGTCTTGGAACGGGAGGAATCCGGCGAGGAGGACGTAGAGGATCACCCCGCACGACCATATGTCCACCTTCGCCCCGTCGTATCCCTTCTTCGCGATAACCTCCGGCGCAACGTATGCCGGCGTGCCGCAGGTCGTGTGGAGCATTCCGTCTTGCCGGAGGTGGTCGGAAAACGCGCTCAGACCAAAATCTGTCACCTTCAGGTGCCCGTCTTCGTCTAGGAGAAGATTTTCCGGCTTCAAGTCCCGGTGGTAGACACCGCGGCTGTGACAGAAATCTATGGCGGAAATCAACTGCTGGAAGTAATTCCTGGCCACATCCTCACGCATCCGGCCTTTGGAGACGGCGGCGAAGAGCTCGCCGCCGCGGACGAGCTCCATGGCGAAGTAGATCTTCGTTTTGCTCGCCATCACCTCATGGAGAACCACAATATTCGGGTGATTCACCATCTTCATCACTGAGATCTCGCGCTTTATCTGCTCCATCATTCCCACCTTTTTATACATTACAGAAAATATTCATTTACTATATCAACTGCCAAAATTCATCACAAAAACACTAAACCAAAATCAATCATCGTCCAACGATATAAATCATAATTGACAAAATGCATATCAAAAGGCGAATCAAAACGCAATTGAATTACCAAATCTCATACTCCACTCAAAAGTAAATAAATGCATCCACAATTCTAATTACCTTAATCACTTTCTCCTTCCCGACTACCTTCATCGCAACGCTCTTCCCCGTCAGAAGGTTTCTGGCGTGGTAAACCTTAGCGAACGTGCCGTGTCCCAACAGCCTCCCGAGCTCGTATTTCCCGTTCAGAGCGCCGCATTTCTCCTCCGCCGCAGCCATTATTGAATCTCAGATAGTACTATTTCTAATCTCAGAATATTCAAACTATGAGAAATACTATTTCAATAACTTTTAAGTTTATGAACAATATAGTTTAGGATTACTAAAAGGTAGGAGAGGGGACGAATCACCCGTCCTCGACGTGTTTCCGGTGACAAGTTCGGCCGCCGGAGTGCGGTGGTTTGTGGGCTCTGCCGCCAAACTTGGGTTTAGAAAGCGGCAAACCTCTCATCTCTCTGCATTCCCTAGTGGGCGTAACTGATCCAGACTTCACTCTATATTGGGAATTGGGATTTCTAACTTTCTGGCCATATGGTATGGGGGATAAATTTATACCCGGTTCGGGGCTAAAAAAGACTTTTCGCTACTTTAAGCACTCGTCCAATCGAACGGCCATTAATCGTTTCAGCGGGAGACGTGGCGGAATCGCAATGGGGATGTCGGAATCCCCAGGATCATAGTGTCAATCACTTTCCGACGCGTGTCGCAGGTGGGGCCGGACTAGTCGGTATGATTGATGATTGCATGGTGGGTTATTAATGAATCAATTCAATTTCATGAATTTGGGATAAGAACAAATAGTTAGGATGTTTTTAGTTGGACTGTAATTTATCTCAGACCAGACCAGATCAGACCAGACCAGACTAGACTTGAATAGTTATAAAAATACAAAGAAACCAGACCAGACCAGTTCATACCAGATCAGACCAGATCAGACCAGACCAGACCAGACCAGCAAATTACAGTCCAAGTAAAAACATCCTTACTCCTTATTTTCTTTTAAAGTGGTCTTTTCGTATCAATAATTTCTGGAATTAACCTTATTTGTTTCGTTAAACGTTACCTGATGTAAATGCATGGTCTCTGGACAACTATTAAATTTATTATTTTAGTCCTTAATCTATTTGATCTATATTAATTGAGTTCTTCCGTTAAATTTGCCGCTAACTTTGACGGAAGCTAATTAATTTATCAATGTAATAACATTAATATGTATTACTTCCTCCGTTCTATAATTCTTGCAACATTGTGATTTTTACATTATTCACAGATCTTACTTTGACCATGATTTTCTACTAATATACATAATCAAATTATTACGTATAAAATGTTATTGAACTCTTATCAATGTGAATTTCCAAAATATCAACTTTTTATAACGTTTACTAATACATAATTAAATATAATTACAGTCAAAGTTGTGCATTGGCAACCGTGAAAATCAAAACTGTTGCAAGAATTATAGAACGGAGGATAGTATTTGTTACGGAGTAATTGTTATATGGATGTTTAAATATATCCATATATTTATCATATGTATTAACAGGGTAAGGTTCAAGTGAGAAGAACCCTTTGGGTGAGAAATGAGAATGAATCTCAGCCATTGGATTCGACTAAGTTGCAGTAAAAGACACTTCATGATGCACTGAAATATGCAATCTAGCACGGTGGCATTTCTCTAAATACTTCTGAAAAATCCGTATTACACGTGTCTAGTGCAACATGAAGCTATTTCGGTGCAACTCCGTCAAATATTACTGCAACATGAAACAGTTTTAGTGCAACATGTGCAAAATTTAAATATTACTGCAACATAAAGCCAATTTTAGTGCAACTTCGTAAATCCAATGGCTGGAATTCATTCTCATTTCTCACATTAGATGCATTTCTCACCTGAACCAAAATCTGTATTAACATACTATCTTATATATGGATATAAGATATGAGCCATTGAAAAACATATCCAGTATAGCAGATGATAAATGTTATTATCATATGTAATAACATATGAGACTATGAGCCGTTAACATATAATAACAATTATATGTTATTATAATAATAATTAATAATAATAACATAGTAATGTTAATCATTTACATATAAGCAGATAATAATTAATACATATGAGCAGATAAATTAATAATTAATAATAATACTGGTAAATAATTAATAAGCTACTACATTACAACATTAATACGTAGTATATAAGAGAGAATAAATAACCAATTATATACATATAAGCATATAAAGTTAAATAATTAATAATCAATTGTTATTATTATTAATTATATCAAGAAAAATTTAAAACTAGGTATGACTAAAACTCATCCACTTCTCAATACATGGCCTCATTAGTCCCCCCCCCCCCCCCCCTCCCAAAAAAAAAATTACTCCGTATTTAAATTCATAATATTTGGATAAATAAATTAAAAAATAAATTTTATGAACTAATTTGTGCTTACATTTTGTTTACCAGAATATACTCTTAGGTTGATATTATAAAATTCTAACTTCCTACTCATTTTCTAAAAACCACATCGCCGCGGCACCTGATGCCCACATCGCTGTGACACACACCTCCCCGTCATCACAGCCATCCCCATGCGTCGGCGCCGTCTTCATAAAGTAAAAATGATATAGATGAACCAAACAAATTTTACCAAATTTGGTATGAATATTCATAGTCGGAACGATCGAAAAGAAAAGATGAGACAATCATAGTGGGACGGAAGACGTATATTATTTAAGTCATACACTTGATTTTATATTGTTAATTTAATTATTTATTTATAATTTTTATATGTGTATATAAAATTAGCTACTAAAATTTTAAGAATGATTATATTGTTTCAAAATGTTTAAATTTATGAGAGTTAATAAATTAATTAGCTTCCGTCAAAGTTAACGGCAAATTTAACGGAAGGACTCGATTAATATAGATGAGATAGATTAAGGCCTAAAATGATAGATTTAATAGTTCGAGGACCAAAACGATATGATGATAGTTCAGGGACCATCTATGCATTTTACCCTAGATGTATATCATTTATCTATTTATCTATTCTATTTATATATAAGAAAACAAATAGCTACTTAAAAGACAATTTTATCCTCAAAATATTCTAGGTGTCCTTCTCTCCACAATTCACTCCTTTATCACACAAATGCCATGTGGCAATTTCAAAGATTAATACCGCAATATAAACACAAAGGGAGGTTGCTACATTCTCTCAAAAAAACGTGTCATCAAATCTGTGGGCCCTAATATATAAAAACACCAATTTCTTTAAATTGTTTTAACTTTTTAATCGTTTATCTAATTTTTATATAAAAAAATATCAAAATTCATAAATTTTTACGACCTTTCATATGACATCAATATAGCATATATAAATTTAAAAGACTCTGAAAGTTTATTACACAACTTTCATATTTTCCAACATCAATACTATTCGTATTAAATTATTAAATAATTCCTAATATATGAACAAAATAAGGATAATAGAAAAAATATGACTTATTAATTTTTAGTGACTATAAGAAATAATGTCTCAAATAAATATAGTGATTTTAAGTATTACTCCGTAGAAGATAAGCTTGCTAACAATGGAGAGAGACAATTTTATGTCTTATATGTAGCGTTTTTAGGTATAAGATAAGATAACCGACTAACAATTGAATGAGAGAATTTTCTCTCTCATATATAATGGTTTAAGGTATAAGAAGATAAATTTGCTAATAATTGAGCAACAAAAATTTTTCTATCATATGTTGGACTTTTAGATATTAGAAGATAAATTTGCTAACAATTGGGCAAGGAAATAGAGCGGAATAATTTTCTCTCTCATATGTAGTGATTTTAGGTATTAGAAGATAATTTTGTTAACAATTGAGCGGAATAATATTCTTTCTCATATGTTTTATTCTCTCATATGTTAGCACTATTTTAACTAATTATTAGCAAGTTCTTATTAAACTAATATTCGTTAATTTTAATTTGTTGTATTGACTTAGACTTTATGTCATTCACTTATTAGTTCGTAATTTTTTATGATCTTTCATATGAGACCAATATTGTATATAGATTTTTTTTAAATAAATTGAAGGTTTATTAAAGATAATGAATAACAATATGATTTATTGACATTTAGTGACTATAATAAAAAACTAGATCATCTATAATAAAAAAATGCTTATATGCTCATTTTCCATTTAAAATCATGTGTCGTTTGGTGACCTTATTTTTTATTTATCAACTTCATCAGTCAAATTTTTCATCAAATACTTAAATTTTGATTTCACACGCTGGATTCTGAAATTTTGAACGGGATAATTTTTAGGGGAAATAGAAACTAATAATCCAACCTTTTAGCGGTCTTCTTACAATGATCCAACCTTTTGGTTATTCATGAATAATCCAACCTTTGCACCTCATCTTCACTCACTGGTCCCTGACCGGTTGATGACCTGCTATTCCAAGCTATTTTCTTATCTTTGCAAATCATTATACCATAAATTTCATCTTTCACAAAGATAATATTTTGCAAAGATAAGAAAATAACTTGGAATAGTAGGTCATTAACCGACCAGAGACCAATGAATGAAGATGAGGTGCAAAGGTTGGATTATTCATGAATAATCAAAATGTGGGAGTATTGAAAGAAGATCGCTAAAATGTTGGATTATTAGTTTCCATTTTCCCTAATTTTTATGCTGCAACCAGGAGTGATTAGGCCATTTTTATGTTTTTCACCCCAAAAACATCAACAACCTATTCTATACACTTATTCACGGAAGACAAAGCCTGAATGATAGCAGACTACTAGCATTTTCGCTGCGAGAAACTAAACAAAATGGTGGGGCCAAATAAAATATTAAAATCCCATTTTTGTTTAAAGTTTTGAAACTTTTTTATTACTATTTTAATTTTTATAAAAAATATATCAAAATTTATACTCTCTCCGTCCCGCTATAATTGTTCCATTTTACATTTTCGGTCCGTCCCACTAAGATTGTCTCATATCTTATTTGGTAAAATTTGTGTGGTTCAACATCATTACTACTTTATTCTTACTTTATCAATTCAATATCAACCACATAAACTCACTAATAAATGTGTCACATTCTCTTGTCCCAAACTTAGGTGGACGGAGGTAGTAATTTTTTATTATCTTTCATTTGACACCAACGTTGCATATATAAAGTTTAAATAAAAATATTAAATTTTTGAATTTCAAAATTTTTAGATCCTAACATTTTTCTTAAATTGATTCAAATAATAAAAATAAGATCTCATTGTTTAAATATTTCATTTTACATCTTTCAATGTTTTTTTGTATAGATCCCAAGTAACAAAATAAAATATTAAACTCCAAATTTATTCATTTTTAAGTTGGAATGTTTGGATTTTCAAATCCTAAGTATTCGCAACAAAAAAATCTGAAAGAAAATGATGTATAATGATAAAAGCAAGAATTTAAAAATAATAAAATTTTGTTAAGTGAATATACTGACGGTGTCGGA